CACAAGGTCTTGCCATGGATATTTTGTGGGTCAGAAGATAAAAAGTTTGGGAACCACTGCTCTAGAACTGTTTAGAATTTACTCAGCGATTAAATAAGTTTAAAATTKAACTGTTTTTGTTTATATTTGCTCCCAGCTGTGGCCTTTGTTTGGTGGAAACTTGACAAAACCAGAACGAGGGAAGCTTTTCTACGTTCCACAGGTAAATACCTGCAGGTTTTACAAACATATTTCACCTTCATAGATGTTTAGATGAAATTCARCTTTGTCTGTTAGTAAAATATCTTGTGAATAACTGAACAGATTGAAACTCTCAAAGAACTGTGGTCCTATAAATGTTTTTTGTCTTGAAAAACAGATTCTGATTTCAGTGATTCAGTTAAAAGACAAATAAAACTGGAGCCGACATTTAACTTGTTCTTTAAAAATCAAAAAGCTGTTGAGGTTTCCACAGCCAGCTGTGTCTTTACATCTGTTCCACTAAATGTTTGCTCCTCCTCTGTTGTTGAGTTTCTGTAAGAGTAGAGAGAGACATCATTATTTACTCATTTAGTCTTCAAACACCTTCAAATCACAGTTGTTGGTGCCAAACTGCATTAATGTTTACATCATCTGTTGACGAAGAAAAACGGTCGAACTAAGCGAAGCACTTTAATAAAAGCAGCTAAATGAAGTTTGTTCAATGAAAGTTTAGTAAAGGTTTTCCTGTCTTTGTGACTGCAGAGACCCTACATGACTCTGGGCTCTCTAAGGGATCAGGTCATCTACCCCGACACTGTAGAAGAACAGAGGAGGAAAGGCATCTCTGACCAGGTGGGCCCAAAGGACACGCCTACATTTCCTGTCACATCGTCTGCGCTCGTCTGATCAGCGCTGTGTTTTCTGAGAGCGCAGGTGTTGAAGGAGTACCTGGACAACGTTCAGCTCGGTCACATCCTGGACAGGGAGGGCAGCTGGGACTCGGTCCAGGACTGGATGGATGTTCTCAGCGGAGGGGAGAAGCAGAGGATGGCTGTAAGGACTAACKCTTAGCTGTTGTAAAACAGCTCGCCTRTATGTTGTTGTTTTTCCTGTTTGTTTTRATCWATTCTAACATTMYTGATGCTTGATRTGTTTCTAAATGTAGATGGCCAGACTGTTCTATCATAAGCCTCAGTTTGCCATTCTGGATGAGTGTACCAGCGCTGTGAGTGTTGATGTGGAGGACTACATCTACAGCCACTGCAGGACGGTATGATTCTAACACCGTGTCCTCAGGAGCATCATGTAACGAGATTTAATCCTCTGAAGAGCAGATCAGAACGATGCTTACGTACTGTAACCCAAGCTTCTGAGTGTAAGCTCCGCCCTCTAAGGCTATCACTGATGGTATCCCTCGCGTGCGAGGGATACCATCAGTGATAGCCTTAGAGGGCGGAGCTTACACGAAATAGAACAGTCAGTTTGAAGCAAAAARCCATCATTGCTGTCTAAGCACTTTTTATCAAACTTTTAACCAATCACACAGCACTTTTGTATGCGGAGGGGCATGAAAAGTTCATCCCGGGCCTTATGACAAGAAGAGACGAGCGACACGAGGCTGAGAACAAACTGAGATTTTTGTTGCATAACTGCATCCGTGAGAGCAGATTTCAAGGGTCTTTGTTTTGTCATCTGAAGTTAGAGTCAGAAAATGTTTATTTCTATTATACGTTTTTAAAACATGTCAGGAACCATTGAATTTGAATTCTGATATTGTCATATAAATTACTTTGAAGTACCGTATTTATTCAAGCATAATACGTAAAATTAAATCCATAAAATCATCCATAAAGTTGGGCAGAGTAGTACTATACTCGGATAAATATTTTTACTTGTGTATTTTAACTGAAATATCGGTTTCATTCACAAGATGCCCGAGTCCGGAAATGAGACCGTGTCGTAAAAAGCAGTTGAAACAAGCTTACCTCTGACACTCCTCCGTGCTTCAGAGCGAGATAATAACAGATCCAGGCAGGCGATATGATGTGAAAAAAGGGGAAAAAAAGTATTCCTGCACCTCAGTAATGATAGCGAATTAATGACATTAGCGTGTGACCGGGCCGCTCCTCGAACAACAACAAACACATGTTCGTCTGTAATGGCTRCCGTCTACCGGTGTTCTGAAAAAGTTTGTATCCCTGAAAAAAGTTTCCCCACCAGAGGGGGCGCTCGCGAGTAGGAGGTAATCTGCTTTTCCCCCACAAGATGGCCCAAATCTCATGTGAAGTCTCTGACTTTTGTGTTGGCGCCTCCTGGTGGACTATGTGTAAAATGCCAGAATAAAATGATGCTGCTACAGCTGATATATATTTGTTGTCAAAATACCTTTTAGTACATATGTTGTTAAAATAAAATGAGCAGTCATTTTACTGATATGTATAAAGATTGCAAAGACTGAAAAATCTTGAAGTCTGTATGAAATTGGAGGTAGTTTGAGGATTAAATTGGGGGTCGTATTATACATGAGATCTATTATACACTAATAAATATGGTACTTTTTCTTTTATTCGCAGGTGGGCATTACCTTATTCACAGTGTCCCACAGGAAGTCCCTGTGGAAGCACCACGAGGTAATCACTGTTTTGTTTAGTTTTTTTTTTTTTCTGAGCAATAATATATTTTACAGTTGAACCCATTTGCCCTTGCTGCTGCTTTTATCTAATTATTTCTTCTTCTCTGTCATGAAGTACTATCTCCACATGGACGGCAGAGGGAACTACGAGTTCAAGCCRATCACAGAAGAGACTGTAGAGTTCGGCTCCTAAGCAGCCGATCAGAGCCACGCATGCACTGTTCTGTTCAAAACCATCCCGTCATTTTTTTGCACTCAAGAAGTTAGAACTAAACCTCGATTAATAATGATTTTTATCGTTTATAACTTAGCCTTTTCTCTTTGTTATTTAACTTTATTTCTGTATAATCACAATAATTTTTATTATTATATTTTGGGTTGAGATCATTTGAAAATTAAACGGTTGTGTGTCACATATTAGGTGTTTGAGTAAAGGTGGGGGTGTTTGCACAGGTTTTGGACCGGAGGGTCAACCTACAGTGGTGTGTTGGGTCCATTTKTCCAACTGGAAACAGTGAATATGAAGCCAGACTGACCCTCCTCCAGCTCAGTTGTAAAATATGCTAAAAATTCCCAACAGAATCTCCTCCACTCCTTTATGTTGAAATATTTTAACATGAGTTGGAGTTAGTTTCTATCATTCCAAATAAAATAACAGAAAATAATGTGTTAAAAATGACTTTAAATTTTGAATAAAGTGTAAAAATTCTACTTTTATTTAGACCAAATCATAACAAACACTAGATGGAGTTTTAAGGAACTAAAGAAAATGCTTGAAACTAAATATAAACACAATGAGCAAAACTACAAACTAACACAACCACATTCTGGTGTTTTCTAGAGTTCTCATCCAGTAATGAAGCTGATCTGAAGCACATTGTGGAAATGTTAGCGTGTTGAACGCATGTTAGGCTGGTAACCAACTACTGAGTGACTGAACCAATAACATCAAGATATTAAACAAAGTAGATTTAGGCAAACGTCTCAGTGAGCTGTGGCGGTTCATTCAATATTGCGAGAAAATGGTTAAAAGTGTTTGTGAACAACTGAACAGTGAGCTGTGTAAACACACCCAGTTTTTTAAATCACAGCCTGTTTGTTGTGCTCGGCTTGTAAAACTCTATTCATGGCTGCGCACATTATTTTGTGGCCAACATTCATTCACATTGTACCCACCTCTGCTACCCACCCCCCTCCCCTTCTGATTTCTCTCAGAGGAGAGCCTATATTACTTCTCGTAAGACGGTTGGAGACTGTTTTGTAAGAAGTTTGTTGCGTAAATATGTTCAGATTTATGAGACGAGCCTCTGTGACTCAAACGAGGAAACTGAGAATCTCAGAGAAAATTTCGAGACATTTTGGAGGCTCCCTCTTCACCGGTCCCAGTTCAGTCTGGTCTGGTTTCTGTAAAACTCATTAACTTTACTCATTGTGTTACCGCTTTCATATCAAGGTGTTYGTTTCAGATTCACATCAAATCTTGATCTACTGTCTGTAGTTGCAAGAATTTGACAGTTTATATCACAACATTGTAATATTAAATGGACATTTATTTATTTTTGAGAGGGGGTGGCGGGACAAGTTAGCTCCACAGTCATTTCACTAAAACCAGCCGTTAACTTAAACACTAACATTTCCACACTTTAATAGCCTTAAACAACAAATACAACATTTCTTATCAAACAGACCTGACTCCAAACCTTTATTAGAAAGGTTTTGGGCTTGTTTGTTTGAAAGTGTATAAATCCTCAGACCTGCCATCTTTACTCAGCTCCTGAACTGTCTCTTTGTTTTTTATAGTAACTTTGTTTTGGAAAAGGAAACCTGCCTTAACTGTATTTGGGTTTTTATATGAATAATAATGGCATTATGATGAAATCCGAATTTAAAAATATATAAAAATGTTAGATAAACCAGTTTTCATTAAAATCTGTCTTCCTTTGTGAGTCTCTTTACTCCTGTGTACTGTAAGTGTTTGTGTTGTTGATGTGACCATTTCTCACTTAAATGATAACTTTTAGGCTCTTATCTGATGCTAATTTTAGAATACCCATAAGTTTCTTTTTCATTTTAACATATTTGTATTAGGGCTGTCAACTGATTAATATTTTTAATCTGATTAATCCCAAAGTAGCTGTGAATTAATCATGAATAATCTTAAATTTAATATACATTTCTATTGCATATTGACAAAATGAATTACTTGAGTTATTAATTAGTTTTTAATGTTTTTATTTAGAAAACAAATTGATGCTTCGACAGGATTTTCTGAATATAAAACAGGACCTAAAAATGCTCCAAACATATTTGAGATAGTCAAATTTAGTGCAGAATAATGAGGTTAAATCAAGAATTCAAGGATTTTCATTTCAAATGAGTACATGAGG